GCAAATAGTGGGTGCTTCTTAATCACGAGTCAGATAAAAAGAATTCTGGAATAAGCTTTAATATATTTTATTTGTATGTTTGAGTTTGGAAAGGATCATAGCAGTGTAGTTGGTACAGTTTATTATATTACAAATATACAGGATAACAATGGCCTCATTCTTTTGTTCATTAGGGAAACCATGCAGCATAAATCTACTATATAATTGTATGTTAACTTTTATATAGGACAACAGTTGAGGGAGTAATGCCTCAACTTTGTGTGGAGAGAACACAGAGAGGGAGGAGGATGTGCCGGATCCAGTGATTACACTGGGAATTGAGCATGTTTTATTGATTGTGAAAGGGCCAGGGCTGTCACCAAGTCTCCCAGTGTCTCCATGGTTCGTCTTAAGGGACGAGTAGGCAGACCGGCCCTTCTGTCACTTGACCAGTCTCACACCTCGTCATGGAGGATCAAAGCGGCTCTGGACAGAAACGATTGTAATGCTCCGTAACTTTTATAGATACAGCGTGTTCCAAAGCTGCAAGTATATTCAACAGAAGGTACGAGGTACGAGGCATGGACACGTTCTGTTAGATTTGTCATATTGACGTTCTGTCAAGCTGATGTGGTCGTTCCTATGACGACATATCCCCTGCACATTGATTTATGTCGCACAAATGTTTGGTAAGCAACTTTCAGTACCGCTGGACTGGTTTATATCAAAGTGGACCAGGTGTATCATATCAAGGTCTCTTAAAAGAGTGTGTGATGAGATGCTGTGATAGTGGGCTGCTTTGTGTGCACTGATAGCTCCCCGAACACTGGTCCTATATGGTTTAGAAGTTTTATGAAATTGCAACATTATGATTTATCAACCTCGTAACAACAGACAGGCCATCAAGTTTTATCTAGATGTTTCACACAGTTTGTGCTGTAGGATTACTGGTGTTGTGAAGAGGCACAGACCTTACAAATACCTCTGAGCTGCTGTGAGCAGAGAGATGTTCAGAACTGATGCTGCATTCGCTGTCCTCTGTGTGTCCCACATGGAAAAGGTTCCCCTCAGTGTGATTACATGGTGCTCCCTCTGTTTTCCTAGACCCTGTTAATAAGCTGTAACATCAGTTCTTGTTTCTTGAGGCATTTAAGCTTTGTTAAAGGTCCGGTGTGTGGGATTTTGGGGGGTATATTGGTAGCATTGGAGTGTACTGTAATAAGTTTTATTTACTAAGTTTTTTTAGTATATGATCACCTGAAAATAAGAATCATGTTTTTGTTACCTTAGAAGGTGCCATTTATATCTACATAGAGAGCAGGTGCTCATCTATGGAGATTGCCACGTTGCATCACCACGTTTCTACAGTAGCTCAAAACGTCAAACCAAACACTAGCTAGATCGCGCCATATGCTTTTTCCCACCAGCCACCATTGTTAGTAGCCCCTCTGGGAAAAGAGCACAGAAAAACACTGATTTTTTTAAATTTCTTGTGTACTTTGTATTTCTTGTACTGTTTTTAATCACCTGGTTTGTTTGTTTTTGAGAGGAAGATACCTCTACAGATAATTTGGCTCCTGGTAAAAACCCCTTGAACATCTGGATCTTAAGTTATCGGTGAAAAAAGGTGAGCACACGTTAGCAGGTGCTAGGCTAGTGGCGTTTGCGTCGTGCTAAACACCATAGGTGAAACACTGATTTATAACGTGAAACTGCTTTTTCAGTGTCCCAGTAAAAACCTCCTGAACAATGAACACTAAAGGAATTTTAACTGGGAAAAATTTCAGCTTGGTGCAATCTGTGATCCTCACCACTAGATGTCACTAAATTCCCTTAAATCTTACACCCTGTTTCTTAAATCCTGTAATAAAATGTATTCCCTCCATGCAAAGATGCAACGCATTCTGCCATAAAAGACCATAAAATGTCGAAATCTACTATTGGAATATATGTAGTGAAAATTTTCAAATGTAAGCTAAATTACTTGAAACTTTCTTGAAAGAAAATGCCGACCTCTGCCTTTACATTAAAATGCATTTATTGTGCGCCACATATAGCAAGTAGCGAAATGTAAGTGGTAGCTTTAAGTACGTTAGCTTGCTGCTGTAAATTAATTGAATGAATCTATCGTAATGCCTATTACTACTAGAGGAGTTATACTCTATATGATTAATAGAGGTGGGACTTTGCACAAGGGTTCCTGTTTACATAAAGTACTCAAGTATCAACCATGTGGCTGCACACTGAGGTGGCGACATAGCCTTGTGTTGTCCTGCCCCTGCTTCCAGGCTCAGTTTGCCCCCTTTCCTTCTCTCATTTTATGTTTATCTCTTCATCACTGTTTCTTACACACACACACACACACACACACACACACAAAGCACATGATTTAGGCCATAAACAGATACTCTGTCCCCTCCTAACACTCAAGAGAAGTCGGAGTGTCACGCACAAACATGTACTCTGCTACAGTGCAGACATTGTTCTCCTTTGTAATCTGACCATCTTCTGACATGTCTATCTGGGTGGTGGTGCCAGCTGAAAATTTCCCACTTAGTTCTGGGGATTTTAAATTACACTATTTGATCTACAGTGAAATATGTTGTGTTTTGATCAACTGCACCATTACATGGAGTGATCATTCAAATCCTGAAAATAAGGTTTTGTCAACAAGATGTTTTAGCTTACCAACTGACTTTTGATGAGTGTGGACACCAAGTTGGGAGCGCGACACACCTGCAGTCTGAAGGCCCTCTCAGCTTGTCATTTCGTATCTGTGTAAGGGAAATGTCATGACAGAGTCTATTACGCCTCTAGACTTGAACTGTCCTGCTGTGACAGCTCCTCTGCATAAAGAGAGGAAAGAATAGGCGTATACGTGTGCGTGTGTGATAGTGTCTTGATTCTTTCTCATGTACAGTTTCCCACATGCACTGAAGAACTCGCTGTGGTTAATTCAGACCAACCTCAACAGATGATTACAGATTAGTGTACCTCAGATAAGCTGCTCTAAACCAACACTCAAGTTCACACGTAGGCACCCGGATAAAACCGTTGAATACTGTAAACGAGTGCATCCAAATTCAAAGGCAACAAATAAAACTTCATTTACAACCACCAATAAAAAGCAAACAGTATAAACCCTTTCATCCAATACAATCACATACTGTTCAAACACAGAGTGAGAAAGAGATTATCTCCTTACCTCTATGCAGATAAAATACACTGCACTGGTCTGTTGTCTGTCAAGTTCATCACTTGCCTGCCTGCAAATAGCTCTGTTTGACACTGTGTCATGAAATCTGACAAAAGTATCTCCATTTCCCAAAATGGGAGAAAGAAGGAATCGAGTCGGAGATATCTAAATTTCTGTCATTATATTAAATTTATAAACACACAGTGAATTCACCAGCATACCGCCCATTCCAGTAAATTCACTGAGGGTTTCAGTACTATATAAACACAATGACAGGTTATGAAATGATCACTTTTGGAAACTTGTAGTGCTATTGCTTTCAGGGTGGCTCAGATATGTCCCCCCCTGACCTCTCTCTAATTCGAACACCACTCTTGTCAGTGTGTTTTTGTGTGTGTGTATCAGTGTGTGTCTGCGTGAAATGGTGAATGAACAAGAACATCGTCATTCTCCCTGGTCTGTTGTGATGTGGTTTGGGGAAATTCTTTGTGAGGGTTCAGGCGGTTACTTTCCTGGCTCAGACAGCCGTGCGTGGGTAGTTAGCGAGGTGATCTCAGTCAAGTTTGCCTACAGTGGAGCCCCGATTCAGACAGCCAGACACCATAATGCCAGTCCATCTGTAACCCATAATGACTGTGTGCCACTGGAACTGGTCATTTTCGTTTTCGCTGCCAGTTCGGCCCCTGGCCACCTCGCCTCACAACTGCTGACTGCATCTAATGGCCTGAGTTGTTAACCTTTCTACATTTGTACTCATCGGGGAAATGCAGTTGTTTAGACATTTTCTATTTGCTGGGTGTAAGTGATGGATGCGCCTCCGGGGAGGGGGCTATAGCTCTTCTTGCAGAGAAGCAGAGACAGGACCGAGCTAGATGTTCCCTGGGGAATAGTGTGATCTGAACCACTGGCCAGGTTACAAGCTCATGTGGGAATATAACCCCCATCTTCCTCACCCCCCATGGCTTCTCTTCCAGCCCAGGAGATTTCAACTACTGTCAACCTCGGACTGGGTGCACTCTTAATCATCTTAAGAGCAAAGCTGGCATCAGGGTGGGTCAGCTCAGGAAGAGCGAGGAAATGTTCTGTCTTCTGCAGGCAGAGGAAGACAGACAAACTATTTCTATTAAAATGAATGTAGCTTTAAAACTCTATCAAAACATATAGAGATTACATGAATCTAGTGCTTAAAGCGAGCGTCTGTTCATTAAAAACGAAGCTACAGCCAGCAGCCGGTTATCTTATCTTAGCACAGAGACCAAACACAAAGGGAAACATGTTTTTTTTTTTAAATGTTGTAGGGAGTCGGGCTAGCTGTTTCCCCAGTTTCCAGTCTTTATGCTAAGCTAAGCTAACCAGCTGCTGGATGAAGCCTTGTATTTAACCTGGGAGTGATGTCAGCCATCTCAAAGCATATAAACACAGTTCCCAAAATGTTAAACTACTCCTTAAGAATAGTACCTTCTAACATAGACTTTAGGATTATTAAAGAACTCGTCACCGGCTCTTATTGCCATTGTCTGAATGTATGCATTTAATTCAAAATGTACAGTTCAATACACCTAATCAGCGAGTCTTGTATAGCTGCTGCCCTCTAAGTGTGAAGCCGTCTTTCATTGACTTCAGCTGTGGTTCAAGTGCAGCAGCAGGGGAGATAAGGGTACACCATGTGGGTCTCATACTCTCTGAATGTGCTTGAGAACAGAAAGCAGAGCCCTCCGGTGCTTTGAAGTGCTTAAGGAGACATTGTTGAGTGTCAAGTTAACTTTCTCTTCCTCCCCCCCTCTTCTCTCTCTTTCTCTGTCTTTCTCTTTCTACCCTCTTGCAGATTGCGGTCTGTCGACAAGCGTGTTGCGAAGACAGAAGAAAGAACGTATACACGAAGAGAGACTGTTGCACAATGTGCTAGGAGAGCGCCGGAAGAAATCGTATAGTTTTTCTGATATTGTCGAGGTGTCAGAGAGACCGGAAAGGACGCAGTCATGGGGCGGAAGAAGATACAGATCACCAGGATTATGGATGAGAGGAACAGGCAGGTGAGTGTCGGAGTTTGGTATCTATTTATCTGGAGCACTTTACATAGACTTTTATAATCATATTACTTTCTCCTTAGCTTATTGTACAAGATTGCACCACATCTTTTGTGTCTGAGAAGAAAGTCCACTCTGTACCTGTTTGAAGGTTACAGTCGTCTTCTATTTTCCTTCCTGCCTCAGACCAGGGTTCAGCAGCTGTCATGGTGTGCATGGATCTAAACAGACATACCTCCCTCCCCAAAGTCCCAGCCAGCTGAACAGGGACCATGACATTTCTTTGTCAGTGCGGTCGTATTTACAGACATGATTCCCCTGCCACCCTGCAATTTCAGCCAGAGAAGTTGATGAGGCAGCAGGAGCGCTGGGCTGCAGCGGGGGCCTCATGGCGTGGGAGTGAGCTGAGGGTAGCGAGGAGCACAGCGGGCCGCCTGTGGCCTCCCCACACTGTAGGGCTTGTCCCCTGGCCTGGCAACATGGCTGGGCCCCTTCGCTTTAGCCCTATGTGTTTGCAGCTGTTTGGTAGTAATTAGGAGCAGCCACTGCACCACAGCACCCTCTCATTTGCAGGGTGGGTCAGCAGGACACACAGCACCCTTCTCTGCCTTGGCTACACTGGTCCCAGCTAGCCGCAGAGAGGGAGAGAGCTGGAATTCACTCTGTCTGCTCATGTTATATATAAACTCCTAAACAGCAAAACACTGTACAAAACAGCCTAGGTCTGTTTGAAACAAGAATAACAGGCTTGGATATCTATAGCAGAAAGGCTGGGTGCGTTTCTTTTTTAGCTGCGCTCATTTTGATTTAAGAGCTAAGTTGAGGATGCGTGAGCACAGTTTTTTGACGAATTACACCAATTAATGAAGATGTGTAGGTTTCCCATAGCCAAATAGAACGCATCTCGTTAACACCCCCAGAAAATATAATTTGCATTCCTTCACAGGTGGAACAACTTTTCGCTGTGCACACAGAAATATAATGTAGGTACAGTGGTGCCTCCTCTCCTGAGGATATTAACGTGATATGGTACTAGCCAATTGGTACTCTGACCGTGTCTCTGTCTGTTACTGTGAGGCTAGCGGTTCAGCCAAGTGCAAAACAAAAATCCACACTGTGGGCCAATTATCAGTATAACACCTGGCTCTGGGTTGAATCCAAGCAGGAGAGGAATCACCCCTGGCTCATTGCTGGTATCTACACTGTATTCAATGACCTGTGACATCAGTGAGAAAAAGAGAGAGAGAAAATTACATGAAAACAGGTTGTCAACTGTTCGTCGGTGAGCGAGTTAACCCTTCAGGCTGTGCTTTCTTTACAATGCACATGTGAATGGAGTGAGAGAAGGCACTTTGCCGTATTGTTTCACAGAAAAGTGGAGCTGCAGAGAGAGACGTCGCTTATTATTAATGTGTCTCCCGAAGTCGAGTGTTTGCATCAGATTTTAAATGTCTCACTGTATAATTTGTGAGAAAGTTTATCAGCAGAACGCAGGCATTTCAGCTTGCATTTAGTTGGTTTTAGCTGGCTCAGCAGAGAGTCTGCTGTGACAATAGGCCGCCGTGCTAAAATAAAGCTTTGGTATAAAGTGATGTATGCGTGTGTATCTTTCTCTCTCTTTTTTTCCCCTCCGTGGGCCATGAAGCGCACAGTGCCATCTCCCTGGGGCGTGCTCCTAACCAAGGGGGAATAGCCATTAACATATGGTCCCCATTGTCGGGAGACAATTTGAATCTTTATCTACGCCGCTCTGCTGCTAGCTATCCATACTCTTAGCATTAAAACGAAAGAAGTCCTTAAGTGGGCTAATTAGATAGTGTTGCTATACGGGATGTTGTGTGGGGACAACGGGGGCTCCCTTGCATTATCACTGCGAGTGCTTTAGGAGGGCTGTTAACCTCTCAGGATTTATAACGCAGAGCGTGGCAAAGGCTGAGGAGGTCTGTAATTGCACAATCTATCAGGAATTGTGAGTGCAGAGTTGGGACAGACAGTGAACTTGGCTGATATTTTGCTCTAAGTCGTTACCTACAGTGCATAATGACAACACATTGTCACAATTCAGAGCAATGTAGTGCATTGTGCAAAAATGACAACAAAGATAAGATAAAGTATTAAATTAATAATAATAATTAAAGTATTGTTTAGTCGTTGCATGCGGCGTGTGTACGTTTTTGTCCAGCTGTGTGTGTGTGTGTGTCTCTGCTGCCTGGCCTTGCGGAGGTGTACAGGATGAGACATGAAGGCAGCAGAGGTCCTGTCATGCATACTGTAGGATGGTGAAGAGCCAGTTCCTGAGCCATTCCCCTGCATAAGTGATGGTCCTACAACACAGCAGCGCAGTCATCAGCCAAACTGACACGCTGATTGCAAATGAATGCGAGATAACAACCATACAACAGCGCCGCCCTGCTTGATTCTCCTCATTTACAGTATTCACTGCAATTATTACAGATTGAGTCACAGACAGACACACACACATTTATTATACACTATTATCCAACATTCACATCTCTCTCTCTTTCTATCACACATACAGTGCCTTACAGTGGAATCATATGGGCTGCTGAAATTTGGCCCGGAAAAAGAGAGGAGTATCTGTTGTGTTTCGACTTGGCAGGTTTGGAACTCATGAACCGCACACAATAACAACAGCAGAGCCGATGGCACTCAATGAGCATTTTCAGGGTCTTTCACCTACTTCTCAGAGCAGCTGTCATGGTGTGCGTGGATCTGCGGGGGGGGGATGATGGTGGAGAAAGGAGGGTACACATTAGTCTTGTAAGTTAGTGTAGGGAATAGGCTGGTGTAGCCTAGTGAGCAGTGTCTAGTGACGTCCTATGGATGCCATTAAGCAGGCTCACTGGGGGTAATTGCCCAAGTCATTAAAAGTTTGATGATTTTGCTGCTGGGTGGAGGGTTGCCTGCCCTTGCTGTGGCTCATTTTGGATTGTGCTCTGGCACTTCAGATGCCTGTAGGCACAGAGCAGCTCTCTCTCTTGCTCTCTCGCTTTCCTCTCCAGGGAGCAATACAGCGCACACCTCCCATATTTCAGCCTTCACCCATTCCTGAAGTTCTGAGCGGTCGTCATTATTTTTTTGACAGGTAAAGAGCATGTTGATAGACCATGGACGGAACAGAGGGACACTGTTAAATGTGACAGCCAGCGCATATATTATCATTGTTCAAGATGATATGTCGTTTCCATAAAACTGTGCTGAAGCAGCAAAACATGAAGTCAAGAGATGGTGATCGCACCATGTGGTGCATCATAAAATGCTCACAGATGATGCTGAATTACCTATAAACACAGCATCCTGTCTCTCTTCCAGTCATCCTGGTTGTCGATAAGAGATAAATCTAGGAAACCTGCTTACGTTTAGTTAACTAGCATGTCATCCTCCCCGCTAAACAGGATCAGTCAAGGCTACTGTAGGTTTCAAGGTCAATCCCACCCAGTAGATGAGGCCTTTGTGCCCTCAGTTGTCCACATGGGGATCCTGGGGCTGTCCTCTCTCCCAGCGAGAGCTGATCCAGGCAGACAGTCGTGGTGGCCCTGGCCTGTCTCCCAGGCCCGTACACTCTGGCACCGCATAGCCAGGGCAGCAGCCACAGGGCCCGGGTCACTCTGCCAGCTGGTGCCAGACCTCTCTGACTCTCAAGCCCGCTCTCATGTCTGCCATGGGGGCCATCAGAGGTGACATGAGGTTCTAATAAGGCCTCTAGCTCGTCACCCCTCTGAAGGTGTTAGTGACTCAGGCATCTCCTGCCATGCCCCAGTCACAGCTGCACTCTGAGTCCCAGATGTCTTGTTTGTCATCTTGGCACCTCTGCCTGCGGACAGACATTGATAGACCTTTTGATTGACACATCAACTCTGTGTGGATGTGTGTGCTGGGGTTTGTTGTAGCATATGTTCTTATATACTATACAGCTTTCTGTGGCAGAGTCTGGCCTTGTGGAGGATGGAAAGGATAAAACCAAAACAAATATTGCAGTACAAGCATGGGTGACAGGCACATATGCTCATGCTATAGATTTCAGATGTCAGGAATTTTACACATAGATAGATGGTTGCATTTGGCCCACCCAGTTATTGTGAGAAATCAACATTCTTTATTTTTGTGTGCGTGTCTGTTTATTCTGATTAAACCCGGTATTTCCACACAGTTGCAGATAAACTTTAGGCTACACCAATATTCTGTTACTAATATTACTATTTGTAACATTGGATATCAGTGGTGGTTGCGTAGGGTTGTTTCTGGCTTGTGTGATCATTTTACAGAACTCCAGAGAATTTTGAATTTGAAAAGTCAGAATTCATTGAATAAAGATTGATGTAATCATTTCCAAAATTTACTCTTTTATCTAACAACATATTCTGCTTCAATCCAATTTGTTGCCGTTTAGCCTTTTGAAAACAACATTTTCACTGTGGTCAAAAAAACGTTTGCTCTCCCACTTGCTGCACACAAAGGGAGGTTTACACCTGTGTTTACCAGGTGGTCTAGCAGCAATCTAACGGAACCATAAATTACATTTTTTTTTTGTTTAAAGAAAGCTGATTTAATTTAAAAAAAAAAGAAAAAGAAAAGATGAACCTGTACACATATCTTTTTTTTGCAAGTTTGGTTTTTAAGTGGGTTTTTTTTTTAGGAATTAGTATTATTATTGTCTTTGTCTCCCCTTTTTTAATAATGATAATAATACCTTCTTATTTTGTCTTTATCATGTCTTGCTTGTTTTTATATATGTAATACTTTATCATCTTATATGATACTTTATGTTTGTCATGTATGATGTGTCTTAAGCACATTGATTTTCTGCTTGTCGCATGAAATGTGCTTTGACTACTTGACTTGACTTGACAAGCATTTTTTGGAGAGGTGGAGATGTTTAAAGCTTCACACCTTAACTGGAGCTTCGAATATAAAAAACCCCATTCAGTACAGTCCTAGTGAGCCCTGTTTCTCCAGAAGGTAAAATTCGCTTGTTGCCATTTATCTGAATTTTTGTTTTTTTCCCTTGAGTATTATTTTGTCAGTTCCTGTGAATGAAGATTTCCATCTGTAACTGCTGCACAATTTTATATCGGCAAATAGTGTATCTTACAGCACTTTTCTCTGCTGCAGCACCACCCTGTGATTTTGACCAATATGATTTTACAGAAACTTCTTGCATAGTGCACCTTAAAATACTTTTAGAGAGCTTTTTAGCTTGCATGCAAAACTCATACCCAAAGTCTAAAAGCATGCAAACAAGGACTGAATTACTGAGCTCAGTTAAAGCTCATTTAAAAGAAAAAAACAAACAGGTAATGGTGGTTGGGCACAAGGGAAGAAGTTTGAAATGCAGAAAGTGTGAATTCAGACCTCATCTTGACATTGTGAGAGCTTCTTAAAAGGTCAGGGTTTTCAACCTGGCACAGTCTAAATGAAATTCTAGTATACTCGCCAATCTGTCTGGTATTGTGTGAGCTGTTGTAATGACCTTATCAAAAGCAGAGAAAGTTGGAATCACTCCAGTTTATTAGAAGTTTAAATGTCCCCCCCCCCTTTTGCCCTGACATTTGATTTCACAAACAACACAGCCTTACAACACTGAGGCTAATCCTGTCATTGTGAATTACATGAATTAGTCAGGGAGCTAGACTACATGTGTACCACATCTTACTATAGGAGAGACTTGAATTTTTAAAACCACATTGAGTGTCTTTGTGGGTGTCTTTGACTTGGTGAACCATAGGAAAGCTCCGCCAGTGAACCTCCCACTTGACCTCAAGGATGTCTGTGGTTTTCCACTGTCTCACCAGTCACCCCAGAGAAGATGTGGGTGTATGGAGGTTATATTTGTGTATGCTGGTCTTTATGCTCACAGCTGTTTTGTGTCACAACTTATCACGTTAAGCTGGACACACTCTAACAAAAGGAGAAAAACAGGGCAAACTGCACAAAACAGCCTCCGTCTTTCCCCATTAAAGGTAACTGCGAAGAGTAATGCGGTCGTCACCTTTAATGGCAGTGTGAGCAGCAGCTGGCTTTTGTAAAGGTGCTGTGTTTGGGGCTGGGGCAAGGACCAAGTCCCAGTGCTGCTGCTGCTGCTGCTGCTGCTGCTGCTGAGGTTGAGATGAAGCGGTGCCTGGGTCAGCAGCCCTGCACTCAGCACTCTGCCATGCATCCAGGTGGAACAAAGTCCTCGCTCAGCGTCTCATCCTGGGCTTCCTGCTGAAAGGTGACATCTCCATGGCTTAACAGCCGCATTCATCTGCTAAAGAGCATACAATTTGTTAATCATTTTCCCACATGACAGTCGCTGCTTTCCAGCTGGTTAGGCGAACAAACAAATATGGAAGCAGGCAAACGAGCGGGTGCAGCCCCTGTGTTCAGTCAGAGAAGACTAGTATCAAGTCGTTTAGAGCTGCAGGTGCTCTAAGTGGGTAGAAAACAGACCTGAGACTGTTCACATCACATCGCCTCAATCTGCCGCCATGCAGTGATCCACCTTGAGAACATCATCAGAATGACAAAACCACACAATGGTTTTTTTTCTGTCACCAAACTCACTCAAAGGCTTTATGTGTCTGGGATTTGCAAGGCAACATGTCATTTGATTCAGCCTGTATTTAAACCTTGTCATTTCAAGAATTGTCATTTTAGAATTTGGCTTGTCATATGAGCTCGACTGACATCGGTGCATTGAATAGAAAATGACACAAGGACAGGCTCCTCCATGTCTAGAGCGGGAATAATGGTCGAGTGTAATTACCTGTAGTGTGGAAGATTTGAAATTCATTTATCACAGTTGGAGTGACCCCACAGCCTGAGCGTTACACAGACACTATGCAACACATTGGATTATACTGCATTATACCAGTTAAAATGAGGGTATAGCCGCAAGCTGTGACCAATTAAAGTTGAACAAAGCCAGCTCATCTGCTCAACTCCTCTCTTAGTAGGTCAGTGAAACTGATGGAGAATACAGACACATGCACTCCTCTGTGGCTCCGAGCACCGCTTTCACTAGCACGATCACAAGCCACGCTGTATAATATGCGTTTGACAGGACACACGCACTGGAGAAAAACATAAATCTGGAGCCATGATTTCAAAACAGATTTGAAAAACTATTTTCTGCAAACAACCACTACAAAACCAAAGTAGCAAACAGCTGCATTTATATCCGCCCTCCTTGTGAGCGGTGTTTTTAGCTTGAGAAATTACTGTAGCGTACTGTAAAGAGGTGGTGTAACATAATGACATGTGTGCGTGGGTCTGAGGCGACCACAGAGACAGAGTTGCAGAGATACAGGACATAAAGTCACTTTGCAGAGAGAGAGTTGCGTTACCATCGGAGTGATGTATGACCCGAAGTCCCATCTGAGGGCTCATGTTACAAGGCTTATGCTGCACTACAGAGATAGCTTTCCGTATATGGAGTCAGGGGCTACAGTAATGTATGGACCCCTGTTGTTGCCAAAGCTCTGACTCAGCTCGCTGACTCGTGCCTCTAACCCTGACCTCTGTCCTGATAACTAGACATTTCAGACGTGTACTATGTCATTGCAATCATTCCTAAAGGAGGGCTGATCTAGTTATCTGTCACCTTGGTTACTGTAACATTGTTGTAATATAATGAGATTCTTAATACTGATATTTTTATGGGTTAGCCTGCAGTGCATATCTTTTAAAACTTAGCAGAAGTCATTACTGAGACATTTTTTTTGGTACCTGTAATTTGAGTCTTACCATTTCATGCTACTTTTTGCTAAGTTTTTTATTTTTTCACTGTCACAAATTTCAGGACTTTTACCTGTAATTAAGTACTTTTACTCTGTGGTATTGCTACTTTTAGTTAAATAAAAGATGTAAATACTTCTCCCACCACTGACAATTGTCCAATAAACACAGAGTCGGAGAAATAAACTACCACCATCTGTTGCAACAAGAATCCTAAATCAACATTTACACTTGTGCAAATTACACGCAGATGTACAAATTTCAGTTTTGCCCACTTGACTGTGATCCCCCTTTTTAATTTACAGAAAGCGTTTCCCTCTGTAATGGATGGTTTTGTTTTTCTGTGTGCTCCTCAGGTTACCTTCACAAAGAGGAAGTTTGGACTGATGAAAAAGGCCTATGAGCTGAGCGTACTATGTGACTGTGAGATAGCCCTCATCATTTTCAACAGCTCTAACAAACTGTTCCAGTATGCCAGCACGGACATGGACAAAGTGCTGCTGAAATACACAGAGTACAACGAGCCCCATGAGAGCAGAACCAACTCTGACATTGTAGAGGTGAGTGAGCGTCGCCTTCGTACTTTGTGTCAGGGGGGGTAAAAAAAAAAAACTTCTTTCACGTCGTGCTTTTTCATGTTTTTTCATCTTTTTGATTTATACAAAACATATGTTCAGGTTTACAATATGTAATTTATTATGTCAGTCCTAGATTCAAGCTATAAACTATATTCTGAAAGTGTAGGCTTAGACGCTCTGTAAGTGCTCCAAGGATAATGTTTTAGACAAACAACAGTGAGGAACAAGTAACAGTTTCCTCACAGTCACCATTCAGATAGGACACAGGAGGTCTGCACTCCCTGATAAGTTCAGCGTCTCTTGTGCCCATCAACTGACGTGGAAAACCTATCTCTGCACACGCATGCACACAGTAGCCGCTGACCACCATTTCTGACCCTGTTTCCCATAGATATTGTACCTGTAGGCCTCGGTTCTCTGGTTACTCCTCATCACAGACCATCAGCTTGGCGATTGCGGCAGTGAAAATACAGTGTTTAGTACATTCCATACTGCTCTATAAAACTCAACAAGCACTTGGGTTTCCTGGCAGCTCCTGCATGCCCGGCGACGGGCGGAAGAGTAAGCCACTTGTTATGCCAGCATACAAAACTGTCAGCCAAAAGCCTAAAAGCCAAAGTAAATGAGAATGATTAGGGATACATCCTGTTCCAAACATCTTTCATTGGAACACGTGTGGTTTCTCGGCTTATTCAAGATCTGCTTTAAGAGGCTGGTGTCTTCATTTTGACTAAATGAAAGCATATACAATGTATGTTAATGCCTATTGATGAAACCCTGATAGTGCTAATATAAAGTTGCCCATTCATTTTTATAGCTCTCATTTGAAATAGACTTAGATTAGTGTTTTCTGCTCCGAGATACTTTTTATAAGACAATGCAGACTGCTGCGTTGCAATGCTCTGGTGTTTTTACTGCCACCTGCCCACTAAAACATACAGCGTTTTTTTTTTTTATTACCAATGCCCAATTAAAAGACATCAAGGGTTTAAGATGGGTGAGATTGAAAAATTTCAAGAATCCTAGCTTTGGAAAAGACTTTCACTTGGAGGAATTAGTGAAATTACATGCAGCATAAAGGAGTCAGCTGTGGCCCATTATCTTTTATTCATGCTGCTGCTGCTTGTGAATTACCTGCTTGGCAGAGCTGCAGAAGAGTGCTCTGGCATCCAGTAGACTCATGCAGTCACTCTTCCATCAGGGGCCCTCAGAGCAGAGCAGGGGCTCACCTGCATAAAAAATACATGGACACATTCCTTACTTATGTAACAGTGACCACAAATTTGTTTTTGCCTTGACTCTTGAAGCGGGCTCAACGCAACAACATCTTACACTCACAATCATTATGGGGTTATTCACTGCCTATCAGCTGGGTCATTCCCTTGTATATCGCACATATCTGCGCCCTGCTTGTGTATGTTTACGCTGACAGCAGGGTGTAATTAGAATGTACATAGAGGATAATATAGCACCAGTGCTGATCCCATGCTGATTCCCCACTTAGCCCTTCTGGCTACTCTCAAGGAAGCTGCCCCGCTGCACAAAAGGCGAGAACAAGCCACTGTTGTCCCCGCTCACTCGGCCAGCATCTTTGTAGATATGCACAAACCTCCCTCTGCCTGCTGGCTACACGGTCAAGGTTCAGAAGTGAGGAAGCAGAGCAGAAGTAACCAACCCAGTCCACTTCACAGCATCACCACACAACCCCACTATTCACTTGGCCAAAGAGCCGGTGTCGGAGGTGGTGATAATCTGCGAGTGCTATGATTTGATCATATTTTAGGCAGACTGTTTTCCTAACTGCCTCTTTCTGCAAGCCTTTTTTCAGTCTTGCTGCACAGCTCCTTGTAAACTACACGCAGGAGCTGATGCCTTTGTATTGATGGGAAGAATCCACTCCTCCCCCATTTATCTAGTGAAATGGGCCTCACATGAGGACACTTACACAGGACACTTATCTAAATGTTTTAAATTGCGTTAAACCAATCTTTGCCGTGCAAACAACCATGTGCTCATTTGTCCAGTTTGGGGGGCCAGAAAAACCCTCTCCCGCTTTTCATTGGGAAGCTCGTTCCGTGTGAGAAACTAAATCAAAGGTCACATTCTTGCTCAGTAGTACCATCTGTAGATAAAGGCTGAGCTGTGCAGTGTGGGAGAACAGTCTCCATGTTTTCCACAGATGGATGCATGCCTGGGCCACAGTTTGATAACCCAGTGGAGGGCTATGGACTTTGTCTCAAACTTGGCTCGCAGTCCAAAGCGGAGCAGTAGGCTCAGTGTTGTGTGTGTTGGTGTGTGTGTGTTTGTTTGTGTCTGCATGTGTTGATGGTCTTAACCTTACCAACACTCCAGGCGACAGGTGAACTGTTGTATGAAATCTCTCTTTTTATGTGCTCACCTGTGTGTCATTATTTAGACATTTGTAAGCATTGTTAAGGTGGAATATCATTGTTTGACTTTTGTGAGATGTTCATATTTATTTAGTCAAAAAATCATATAATAAATTTGCCTGTAATATAAAGCAAAATCTGCCCTCTCAATTGAAGGTGATCTGGTTCCCACTTAGAGTAAAAAAAATAGTCTTTTGAGGGTCACATTTGCCTTATTTTTATTCTTTTGTAACGCAGAATCGTAGCACACTCCAATCTCAAGATCACACTCATCAACATCTAGTAATAACTCCTTGGAAATAAATGTGGTATTGTGAACCGAGCTGAGCGTCCACGGCCGAAGGTTTCATGGTGTTGTCCCTATTGTGTTTCTTATTGAATTCTGTTTATGCCACAAATCCAAATGCTGCCGTTAGTCATTAGATTAATCTAATAATATTTACTCTTCCTCCCCTCTCCGCTAGTGGAGCTAATGAGATTTCGCTCATGCTCCGCTATAACCTCACACCATTCCCCAGCACACAGAAAGATCACTGTGTCTGCTGGAGAAGCCTTGAAATCAGATAGTAACTTCACAGGCATCATTTGGCATTTATCCGTCCCCTCTTTGAGCAATTCATTACCGTTAAGGTATATGGTATAGATTAGGATTAATCAGGTTTGCAGGCATTAAGTCAACACTTAATTGTAATTGTATACAACCAGGACTGTGAACAGGCTTTAACCCAATTTGAGAAGCAAATACCACCGCCTCGTATTTGCAAATAACTGGACTGCACCATATGCAAAGCCCTGACTTTTCACTGCTCTTTTTTTACCCTGATGATTTGTGAAAGTAAACAACCTAAGACCATTCATAGGGAAATTCTGCTTATCTTCCTCATAATAAAGAGGGGCGGCCATTGTTAATGTGACTTTAGGAAAAACAGACAATTCCCTCTCTATTTATCACAAGACCACTGCAGTCAGAGGAAACGGGCATAAAATGATCAGGTAATTTCCATCGCATTTTATCTCATGATCTATCAGCTGTTGTTATAAAGCGGAGCCGTATTAATCGAAACAATAAGATATGTAAATTCTGACCGTTGCTGAATGTCAAGCCGTGTGTTTTCATCTGAATCTGTTTTGACTGTGAATTTCACGACTGGCCTTTGCAGATTTTACAGTGGCTACATCTACACAATCATCATCACTGAGGGTTCAATTTGTCATCATGTGCCACAGTCTGTGTTTTATTTTATTTTTACCGGTGGAGACAGTACACGCATTAAGCCACAGTACTGTAAAAGTGCATTTTCAGCAGCTTACAGCTGACAAAAAAAGAATAAATTTTATTACCAGTTATGGAATGAACCCTCTTACAGTGCTTTGGGCTGAATGGGCACCAGAAGTTTCAGACAGGGGATGTTTATGTTGTCAATCAAAGCCTGAGCAGTGATTAAGACTCATTTCTATCTTAATGAATGCAAATTGGCACATCTGCTATGGTGGGCTAGCTGTCCAGACTCTTCAATTAGCATGATTGATCAATTATCCTCCTTCTGGTGGCTCACTGGAAATGGAGGCTGGGGAGTGGGTGCAGTGGGGGTAGGAAGAGAGATGAAAGAGCATGAGAAGAAGAAATGAACAGAGAACTGTCCAAAACGGAATAAGTAGGATGCTTTATTTGATTAGAGCAAGAGAATAATGGAATTTCATTTTACTCAAAGAGGGCTCTTGCTTTATCACAAATTTCCTCAAAAACAGAATTTTATAGCTGCCATTTTATTGTTGTGTTTTTACTTTTTTTTTATTCATACATCCAGTTTGGCTCCTAAAAGTTCAGGTCAGAAATCAGAAGGTGATATTTCTTCACATTTCTGCAACTAACTGGTTAACAAAGTCTTTTTTTTTAAGTGGTTCTGAATGTGTGATCATGACTTCATTTCCACTGTATTTGCTTTTTTCTGTTGGCATTCCCATTGTGATGCATCAACTTTACATGAACAAAAACACAATTTGCATTTTAAATAATGCGTCTGATTCTCCATCAGCAGATTTTCTGATCGGATATTCCCACGAGAGACAAGCGTCAGCCGTGCAAATATTTAGCAGATCAGTACTCTTTCAACTCCAAATTCTGTCGAGGATAGTGTGGCACGCGGCTTGTTTGTGTGTTTGTTTTAACAGTAAGCTTAAATCCTGGAATATCAAAGCACGCTGACGACTCTGAGAAGCAGAGGCAGATTGTCCTGAGTGTGTATTTATAATTGTGGCACAAATACATAACAGGACAGTTAAATGAGACTCTGGCTGGCACACAGGGAAACTGTCACTTATACCATGTTCTCTAATGCAATAGACAGCATTACAGCAGCTGTGTAAATATGACGGCAATAAAGCACATTTAGTGTCAAATTTTACAACATATTGGTGCAATAATAATAATTAATTTTTTTCATAATAAAGATATCTGCCAAAACTGGTTTAGGTTTTTAAATTAAGCAGTGAAAAGTTACTGTATTTAGTACATTTGGCAAAATAGACACATAAAGTAGTTTTTTAGACTAATACATTTTATATAGTTAAGAAAATTCTACAGTTGTCAGA